TCATTAGGCTTATGTCCTGGGAGTGCCTTTTCCTCCTGAGTAATGTAGGTCCTGCTTGGCATTTTCTTCCAAAACAGGCCTGTTTCATCACAATTAAAAACACTTTTTTCAGGTTTCAGCCCTTTCATTTGTCTATGCACTCCTTGAATTCCTGCACATATTTTTCAGCCGCTTTGTGGTCCGAACTGGCAGCCTCACCATGCCTTATCACACTATGTATGCCACTACGCTTCTTAAATCTCTCAAAACCAAAAACCTTTGCTGGCCTTAAATTCACTCACATCATCACTAGTTGCAGGCCTTTTTTTAATTAAATCCTCATGCAAACTTCCTAGCCTTTTCGCTTTTTTGATCGCTTGAGAAACGCTATCTCCTGCTAGCTGTTTTTCCCATTTATCCACACCAATAAGAGTCTCTCAACATCTTCCATCACTTCGATTTTTGTTTCGAAAACACAGTTAAACCTTTTGGCAAGAACAGTTTCCCTTTGGGATTGCCTTTCTGTTGGCCCACAATAGTAGGGGATGGTTGTTTTTGGGTTTTCCTTGTACAACCTGACCAGGTCGGCGATACGCACTCCCACTTTTCTACTTATCAATGATCTCTTTCTTCATCTCTATTGGAATTCTAACCCTTATTGCTGTAGGGTTGGGGAACTAGAAGTTTTCCCTTGGGGGGCCCATGGTCACTTATTTTCCAGATAAAGCACCGAAAACACTGTAATAATACGAAATATTCCGATTGTATGCTTGGATGTTACCGCGGAGGCTGGCTGGTAAACAATGCCACCGGCGGAACATATGAGGCTGGCTCAGGCCGCACATTGGACGCGTCTCGGACGAAGGGCGCTGAGCGGGTTTTTGGGCGGTATGCGAGGCAAAATTTTAGCGATCAAAGCGTCCGGTATGCGGATTGTACGTTATGCAAGGCGTCCGGTATGCTGGGGTCCACTGTACACTTATATAATTGGTCGCATTGGGAGGTGATCGTTAAGCGGGGGCCCACTGTATTTATACTAAATAAGAAATGATTTTTGCCTTTTTTGCCAGGTCCCAGTAATGTTGTAGAAATGCTGGAGTATACATATATGAAACTCCTTGAAGCATTCACAGTGTAAGATGAGTGTCACTTCACTGCAGACAGTGCAACAGTGGAGTGACATTTGATGATCGTGCAATGCCTTGGCTTTATTTTTCACTGTTACACATAAACATGTCTGCCTATCTGTTTTTCTGTCCATCTTTTTCTATCTGTTTATTTGTCTGTCTCTGTCTGTGTGTTTATCTCTGTCTCTACTTCTCTCTCTTTGCCTGTCTGTGTTTCTGTCTTCCTGTCTCTTTACTTGTCCCTCTGTCTCAAGAGAGAGAGCCGCTCATGAACCAACAGGTATTACACACGATACAGAGTTGTCACGTCTGATTCCTGACCAAGTGAAAATGTGTATTACTTGCCAGTCATGCTTATTATGCCTTACATCTACAAGCATAATAGAGCACTATGTCTGGAGTTTTTGGGTTATCCTAGGTAATTTACACTGTGTAACTGTATTTGTGTGTACCTGTGAGGTACAGAGATGGGCAGAGGCAGAGAGAGAGATGGGCAGAGACAAAGATGGACAGAGACAGACAGACATAAGGAGATAGAGACAGCCAAAGCAAATCAGCCAGACAGCTGGCCACCCAACCAGCTGGCCTACCAAACATGTATTATACGTGTTCCAGAATTTTCTCTTTACTTAGGATATGTGTTATAGAACATTCTGGCAGGATGACACTACCAGTGGTATCAAAATTGAAAGAATGTTACACATTGGTTATTATCGAGGTTTTTTATATTTCCTTGGTATCTCCTGCGAGTGGCAGTGTATCTGAAGCTCGCTCATAACTCGGATTTTGCCTTGCAACTCAAAGCAAAAAATCGACCGAGTGGCGGCTCGTAACTCGGAAAACTCGTAAGTTGGGCCACTCGTAAGTCATGGTACCACTTAAGTACTATGCTTTCATTCCCTAAATTTGTTTCACTTTATGATAAAATTGCATGAACAAAATTTGTGCATGCTTGGATAATATTTATGGGTGGTTCTCAAAGGTTGAAGTTGCCAGAGGCTGGCCTGTGAGGTTACCTTCCACCCCCTTTCCTCTAGGATGGGTATTATCCAATCAGGGTGGGGTTCATGGCTAGTCAGACCATTATTGTTGTCCACTTTTAGGAGAACTGTAGTTTCTGAAAATTTCTTAGGTGGTGGTCAACAAGACTCACAAAATCGTAATGACACGATGGCAAACAAACCATACCACGGGCAGAGATAGAACCCGCGATCAGTGTCTCAAAACTCCAGACTGTCGTGTTAGCCACTGGCTAACGCGACGGTCTGGAGTTTTGAGACTCTCTGATCACGGGTTCTATCCCTGCCCGTGGTATGGTTTGGTGGTCAACAACTCGCAATAGGTACTGGAGTTGCTCTTCATTCTTGGTGTGCTTTCTGCTGTAGAGCATCTTTGCTTTTGGTGTTTTTGTTCACTACCTTGATGTCTTTCCACCTTCCAGAGGACCTTTTGGAAGTTCTCATCTGAATCCCAAGTCACTGGATCTTTGTTGAGGAACACTCAATTGATTTTGAGAACCTGGAGAAACTTGGGGCAGGTCATCATGGTCAAAGAATCCAGTGTTGGAATGGGACCCTGTGGAAGGCTCTCACATTTTGGGCAGTCATGGTTGTTTCTTCCCTCTTCATTGCCTTCAAAACTGTCTTTTTAAATTTCCACAAGTATTACAAACGCATGTAATGAATGGCCTGCGACCTGGTCGTAATGGGTTTTGGAGTATAACAAACTCAGCAGATAGACTTGTACTTCTTTCACCAGATATAATTTGCCAGATATATACAAGTATGTGCACTTATGTACAGAGATTAAATAGTAAATGTACCACATGACGGTGACAGAATGACAAAAGCAAAAGCCAGAGAGAGAGATCCCCATACTCAACCAGCAGGTAGGCAAGTCTGGCAAATGCTGACTGCACGTGAACCACATCGCCTCAGCATTTGGTGGGCTTCCCTGTGATTGGACAATGAACCAAGGTACTGATTTAACAATGGGTACCCTAATAATCATTAAACCCTTAGCACCCGGTTCACTGATTGGGAGGCAGCCTATATGGGAGTGTGACATACACCGAATAATTTATGAATTATGTTTGATATGTATTCTTTGCATGCCACAACAACTGAGCTTCGAATTTTAACACTGCAGCTTTTACAGTTTTCTTGGTGCAGTGCTGACAAAGTTTTTGAATGAGCTGCAAATTGTTGAATGGTTCTGCTGCAGCAATCAGAGCTGTAATCCAGGCTTTCAGGTAGATGGTCACTGCAGACATCCCTGTGTCTTTAAGGCATTTTTTTATCAAAGGGTGAGATTCTCCAGCTACTTCTGGAACTTTCATATCATCAGGCAGTACAAAATGTTTGCCATCCATTGTGCTTGGCACTTTGCTCCTGGATGCATGACATGGTGCTCGGGAATCTTTTTTTGCTACAAAGAGGAGGATAGACAACTCCATGAATTCTCTATATTTTCCTGATTTCAGTCTTGTGCATAAACCGAAGCACTTTTCTGTCATCTTTGCCAGTGATCAGCAGGATCTCTTAATTGTCCAGACAGCATTTGGACTGGTCAGTGAAATTCCATTTTGTCTTGAATCTCTTGAACAAGGAAATATCAGGGCCTGATGTGGATTCATAGCAAGAGTTGAAGACCCCAGTCCTCACTTCTGTCAGGTGATGGTGGTGGTGGTTCGAGACAGTCGCATTGAAGCACATTCCGATGATGCACTCTCATCATTTACCATTCTTGGAGAAGCTGGGTAACATTAATTTCTTACTCTTCACCTCTTCTTCTAGCAAGTCTTGTGGCTCCAAACAGCTTTAGTGAAGTCAACAGATCTGGAATGAACTTTCACCCCAGTGAACAGTGAATGGAACTTTCTCAATGCTTTTCATAAGTTGTTGTGGTGATGGTGCTCAGTGTTGTTTGATGGAGGAATGATTAATGTTGATTTCTTCTGGGTTGTAGCCAAGGCTCTTTGCCATTTCTGCGATAACATACTTTACCTTTTAATCACACAATTTTGAACAGTCAAGTGCTGCAGCAATGCAGTGAAGATCACAATTTATTCTCTTTGCTTTTGTTGGGTGAACTATCACCACCTCCACACTCCCCGATTTCTTCGTCTCCTGTGGAAAAAGAGTATGCCAGTTCTTCAATCTGTGAAGATAAGGCCTCACTTGTCATCTTTTTTTTTCTGCAGTTCCCACTTTACAGCCATCCCTTTCTTTCTATTTTATTATTGATGGATCCCATGGTACCTTGCCTTCATGGTTCCTGCTGAGCCAGCAAGAAAGCCTGATCCTCTTTATTCTTAATGATGGAAAGATGGCACGAATACTCGCCGGGCACTTGCTATGAGTAACATCAACGTTTCCACCATAAACACATCATCTTTCAAAGACCTCACTATGAAATGCAGCCCCACACCTCTAACTTCTACCAGGCGTCTACTCCATCCTCTCTGGATTCTGTCCTAAGAAATTGTAAGCAAGACAGGCAAGATCTTGCGGTTGCCGAATGACATTGAAATGCCGTAAGAGAAAATTTAAGGTAGCCTCTGTCCCCCCGCAGAGACTTCACGGGGGCATTTTTTTAACGGGAAAGAGCCAACCTTTTTTCTCACCGAACCGGGCCCTAAACGCCGACGGTGCCTAGAACCCTTTGCAAATCGCCGCCCCCCGACCAAAGAACGTAACACTGGAAACCACAAAATTTTAAAAAAAATTTAGCATACATGATACTTTAAGCACCACCAACCCAAAACAAAAGGGGTCACATGATTCACATCTACCCCTCCTCATCCCAACATGGCTTTTTTCAGGCACCCTGCATCACTCACACCCCACCTCCACCTATATATAAAGTCTTTTTTTACCTCTGGGTTTTTAGAAGTGATCAAGGCCCAGGACCGAAAAAAAATTTTCTAATAATATGTATAGGTTTGCTTATCGTCTTTCAAACCAACAAAAATTTCTTAATTTTAAATTTTGTCTCCAACTTCAATAAAAATTTTAAATTTTTTTAACCCCTTAAAATTGAATTTGAAAATTTTTCTTTATGGCATTTTTCATTTTTCAGCAAGAAATGTATAACTCAGTTTTGTATTTTTAACCCTTTAACCCTAAACGGTCCAAACTTTTTTATGCTTCCTCCCCCAGCCATTTTTTCAAAATGTTATAATTAAAAAAAAAAAATTTTTTAGGCCAGTATTTTTACCGAGATATGGGGGGCCACAAAGCGGGGGCATGGATGCCACCTATGGAACATTGACCCTGCTGCTTGCAGAAGTGTTCCCAAATGTACTTTTTTTTTCTCTTTTTTTTACATTATTTTTAAAATTTTTTTTATGTTCTGACAATTACTTTATAGTATTTTCTTGTCATTCAAACCATTTTTGTTCTGACACTAATATTGGGCACGAAATTGACTCAAATTGTCACAAACACACTGAATTGGAAAATTTACACCTGCCTTGGTCATTTATTTATTGGGAAATATAAAAAATATTTATAGGCCCAGAAATTTTTTTTGGATCTGGAGTATAAATAAAAAAATTTTTTTTCCCTTGAACCAGATGTAAGAGATGTTAGTCCACGCTGATGTGCAGTGATAAGAAATGGTGACTTTGATGACATCGGCCCCCCCTTTTTTAATTTTTTTTTCACTGTTTATACATAAACATTTTTGCCGTCTACTGTCTGTCAACTCTGTCCGTCTGTTAGCTCTCTGTTTACTCTGTCTCCTTGTCTCTGTCTCTCTGCTTGTCTGTCTCAGAGAGGCCACTCGTAAACCCAAAACATGTATTATACATGAAAACGATTTTTGTAGTCAAGCTTACTCTTTATCTACAACACATATAGCCCTTTGCTGGATTTTTTTGGGTTATCCTAGGTAATTTACAAAAATGTATAATTTGTATTTATGTGTACCTTGAGCAGAGTGAAATAACAGGACAGACAGAGATAAAATAGATACAGTAGGCAACAGACGGAGATAGAGCCAGCCGCTGAACACTATTACACGTTTTAGAATTTTTTCTCTTTACTTAGGGGGATAGGTTATAAACTTTTGAAAGGGTGTTGCACAAATGTTTTACAGGGTTATTAACGAGGTTTTTGATTTTCCTTTAACCATTTTGGCCACAATCCACCTCAAAAACCACTAAACTCGGGGCACGTCCCTTTCCTCTTAAAAAAGGGAGTGTTAAAGCTACAGAAATCAGTGAATCCAGGTGTTTACCATGCTGTTTTTCCTAGCTGGTGCTCATTTTTAACTGGGCCCCACAAGGTACTAAGTGGTCCCAATTTTTTTTTTAAACTGCACACACCGATTTTTTAAAACCCATTCTGTGCTGGCCCAACATCTCAGGCCAATCATGCCAAATTTGAGGCAGGCAAAAAAAATGTTTATCGACATTTGGGGGGCTATGGGAAGAATGCAAAAACGTTTGGGGCTGTTTTGGGGTTAACTGTTCAACTCCTAAGTGATACTTTCTCCCACTGCCCAGAAAAAAAAAAACTGAAAAAGGTAAAAAGAATCTTTTCTGAAGGAATGAACCAAAAATACAAAAATTTGATGGAAGATTACGGAAGTACCAGGGCAAAAATTTGCATCTTGGTGCAATTTCTGCATTGTCGTTTTAGTAATTTGAGTCTTATTTTAGGCCAGTTCCATTTGGTAGTGGCCTTATTTCTATAATTTAGGACAAGAAATCACCCATTAGCACCCTGTAAAATGATAATTTCATAATTTGGCCGTTTCCACAAAATTAATGAATACCAATTTAAAAAAAAGAAGCCATAATAAACAATGAACATCCCGGCACTAAAACATTTCTTCCATTCATTAGTCAGTCCTCGACCCCTCTTTGGGAAAGGGGTTAGAAATTTAAACGAGGAAGCCAGACTGTGAAGTGGATGGGAAGGGGGGGTGTGTAATAAAGGGTTAACGTAAGGGTTTTGTGAATTAAGGGAAAAGTGGCAGTGAAGGGGGTTTTTAAGAGGAAATTTTATAGAATTCGTGGTGATTGCTAAAACAAAAACTAAGTGTACTAGGGGCTGGAAAAGGAAATAAATATTTTTGTTATGATAAAAAAAACGAAGAGTGAAAATGGCAGGATTAGGGGGGTACGGCTGCCATAATTATATTTATATTTTTTCTTCAAATTCCTGAAAAAAGAAATCTCATTGGGGGGTTTGGAAAAAGGGAATGGATAACAGCCCCTGGACAGTAAAACCCAACAGTTATTTAGGGAAAAAAATGCCAAATG